GTCAAATCAACGTGGCCTAAAGAGAGAGCTAGACAGAGATCACCCAACTTTCCTGGAAGTATTTGGGACATTTTCATGAGTAGAACTTCATGACACTCCTTATGGACCATTTGGTCCTCTGTGCTGAAATGGTCACAACTCTTCTTATCATGAAACATCCACAAGGCAAAAGTTTGCAAGCCCCTTGGTCAAATGTTTTGTTGACAATAAGTTAACACATCCTCTACAGGAAACAGTCATAAATATGGCATTTTTAATGCACAATTTCCGTTTGTGTGCTGTGTGTAACATATTAGGGGGGAATGCCATTAATTGTGCATTACAATGTACAGAAGTGTGTTCTCTGTAGAGGATGTTGTAACTTTTAACTCTCACATAGAAAATCAACACAACCTTTGTCATTTGACCAGGGGCGCCCGAACTTTTGACAACTGTATTTAGGATTACAGTGGAATCTACAGAGAAGCTGATTATTTCTATCCAGTTGTAGGACTGGGTATAAAATTAAGTACTTTTATGGTACAGAGAATCAAAAAATGATGTAATTCAGTACCAAGTTCAGGACATAAGTAGTCAGTCTCACAGCATCTGGCATGCTATGTTGCTCATGCTATATGTAGCATGTTAGTAAGGATATCGCATCAGTCCTAGACTGGAATCCATTGCAGGTCAGTAAATAAACCCACTTCGAGCAGCACAGGCTTTCTGCTTTAAGCCACACATACTTTCAGGTTGTAATGCAAACAAAAACTATCAAAGTAAGTACAGATCAGGAGTCAGAAGTGAAGTCAGGGTGTCGACACTGGAATCAGCACAGAATGTTTTGATCAATACTCGGCCGAACCGCAGCAGAAAAAGCCACAGAAATGAAGCCTGAGTGGACACAAGAAGCAATTATGTCTATGAAGCACTTTCATTCAGCAGCTGGCAATGGCAATAATGTTTCTGTCAGATTTATTTCGTAAGTCCACGTCAACCAACTAATACGTTAGGATCATCATGTAGGCTATTAAGATTTCACACAGGAAATAAGTTAACACATCCAGTGCAGAGCACACACTTAAACATGGCCTTTTCCTGCAAGCTTTAGTGCACCATTTCTGAGCTTAACATATCAAACATAGATAAAACATAACATATGAAATGTGCCATAACTTTTGCACATGCTGTATTTTTCCCTAATATGTTAAAAACAGCAAATAAACAGTAATGTGTTCTCTGTAGAGGATGCGTTCACTAAGTTTCACTTAGAGAATCAGCAAAAACATGTGATTTGACCAGGAGTACCCAAAGTCCTTTGCATATGGTGCATGAAAAGTGGTGAGGTATTACCGACGCCATAAGTGCACGATAGTCATGCACTAGCGTGGAAAAGTTTGGAGTCACTGCTTGCATGAATAGATTAATAAGTGCTGCTATTTTATTGAAAAACATACACAGTGTAGAACTACTACATACTTATATACTAACTGTAATAAACTACACACCAGAATGCATTTTAGGATTATTTATTCAACATTTCAGGTTGATTTGGGCACCATGAACAGTTACATTAAATAATTAATAATAATATACTTTAATTACAGTTGTGTGCAAAAGTTTTGGCACCCCTGCTCAAATAATATGTGTTTGTTGTTTTGAAAATAAGTGAACACGCCCCCTAACACATTTCTGCACATTTTAATGAACAATTACTGTTTCTTTGCTGAATTTAACATACTGGGCAAAGCTAAAATATAATAAAATAATAATGTGGTCTGTGCAAAAATCTATACTGTATGTTTTATTAATCTTCCGATGTGTTAAACTCAAATAAACAGAAATTGTGCATTAAAATTTGCAACAAATGGCATGTTTACATCTGTTCCCTGTGTATAATGATGTAACAAAACATGTAGTTTAACCAGAGGGGGTGATTTTTTGGTGTGCGACTGTATTTATATATAGTTTAGACACTTTTTCAAATGCGAGGCATTGAGGATGTTAACTTCGGTGCTTCATTCTGTTCTTTCTCAGTCATCTACAGCTCTGTTTACCACTCTGGATCTAACATTGGTACATTTCTCACAGCTACCTACAAATGAGCTGTAATCTATGTAGCATCATAGAATAGAAGCATTTTAAACATTTACTGCACTTTTTATTTTTACAAAAACGTCATCAATAACAGTGATTCCACATTTGTGAACGCTGGGCAAGTGAGGTTTGACTCATTATATATACACATATAGTACATTATACAAATATATATCATGGGAGATCTCGCTCGCAGCCGTTCAGAATGGATCATTTATGTGACTCCCAATGGCAGGCCGCTGAGCTGCTGTTCATTATGCCTGCGGGAATGGCCAACGACGTGGGCTGTGTGACAATCAACGAAGAGGTTAGTTTTAGGGGAACACAAACCTATCTTTGTTCGCCCCCTGCTCCCCAAAAGAAAAAACGGATTATTTGCTCGGCTTTTCGTCCGCCTTGTGCGGAATACATTACGTGTGTAAATGTTGTTGAACCCCAGCGATTCTTAGCGGAAAGGTCACACACTCCCCTCGACCCCAACTGTTCCACGGGGCTTTGTGTCCCCCTCGATGGAGGAGGCAGGAGAGAAAAAAAACGGCGAGCTGTGCCTATAAACTTCGCATTTAAAAGGCAAGTGCGGTTGTGAGGGACTGCTGCGAGGAGGAGGAGGAGGTGGAGGAGGTGGAGGAGGGTGTTGGGGAGTGAGGGGGGGGAACAATAGCATCTTTTTTTGGACACACTTTTTCTCAGTGCGCCTGACAGCAGGGGAGCCGGTTAGGGCCCGTCTCTAAAGCGCTGCTCTAACACAGCTGCTCACGATTTTTAGGGCCATTCTGTCATTAGACGGCCTATCTGCCATAACATCGCCGCTTATTTCGAGCGTGCGAACCTGCTCCCATTTCCAAAATTGCTTTCTTTTTGCCTGCTAAACTGAATGGGGCTTTGAGTTTATGAGCAGAACGAGAACTGTCGTCCATTCAAGTGCATCTGCCTGTCGTGATTTAAATTACATTATCATTATTGATTTATTACCCCCGGGCAAAGGGGGGAAAACAGCCTCGACCAAAAAACAGAAAGCAGCCTGCCAACAACAATAGCAAGGACAGATTTGCAAGGATGCAAACATAAGCAGTAAACAAATCAAATAAAAATAAAGAAAGCTGCAAAAGTTTGCCAGTAAACAAACCTCCTGCACCGAAAACTAAAGTCTCGGATGAGCAGTTGCCCCATTAGCTTATCTACTGTGGGATAAGTGAATGGATATACAGCTACAACTTTATGTCAATGGCTAACAACAACATTTCATTACAAAAATATGAAAGATGTTTACATGTTTCCCGGTAGGCCACAATTCAGTTACATTCAACTGTTGATTTGCCAAGTTCATATTCAAACCCACGCCACGTCTAACAGCTGACACATCATTTGTCTCTCTTTAAAATGGGTTGGCAACTGAAGTTCAGCTTCAGCTTCAGTTTCACAGAGGAAAGCTAAACTCCAGATACAATGATGCAAAAACATTTGAAAGACAAACCTAGAGGATGAACAGCAGTCACAAATCCTCTCAATACAGTATGCTAAGAAATAAAGTTGCACCAAAGAAGAGTGAAGCTAAAAGGTGAGGTTTCACCAGAGATACAAATGGTAAGCTGCTAAATTATGAAAACTGAGCCAAGCAGAGGAACCAAAAAGTGAAGTGTCACCAGAGACTAAGCAGTGAAACTAAAAGGTTAAGTTTTACCAGAGACACAGGCAATAAATGAAGCAGTTTTACTAGAGACGAGACAGTAAAGCTAAGTGGTGAAGCTAAAAAAGTGAAGTTGCACCAGAGACACAAATAGCAAGACAGTAAAGCTAAGCAGTGAAGTAAAAATGAGAAATTAGAAGTTGCACCAGAGACACAAGCAGTGATGCTAAGATGCAATTTTGCTAAATATAAGACAGTTAAGCTAGGCCGTAAAGCTAAAAAGCATGGTTGCACTAGAGACGCAGACAGCAAGACAGCAAGCTAAGCACTGAAAATACAATGTGAAGTTGAGCCAGAGACACAAGCAGTGATGCTAAGACGTGGTTTTACTAAATACAAGACAGTAAAGCTAAGCAGCAAAGCTAAAAAAAGTGAAGTTGAACCACAGACACAATGAGCAAGACAGTAAAGCTAAGCATTGAAAATATAAGGTGAAGTTGAGCCAGAAACACTAATGCTAAGATGTAGTTTTTCTAGAAACAAGACAAAATCTAAGTGGTAAAACTACAAAGTAAAGTTGCACCACTGACACAGATAGCAAAACAGTAGGCTAAGCATTGAAACTTGTTGTGCCAAAGACACAAGCAGTGAACAGTGATGCTAAATTGTAGTTTTGCTGGGGACAACACAGTAAAAAGCTAAGCAGTGAAACTAAAAAGTGAAGTTACACCAGAGACACAGATAGCAAGGAGTGATGCTACGAGGTAGTTCTAGCTGAGACAGTGAGCTAAGCAGTGAAACTTAAGAAAAGATGAGTTGCTGAGACACAAACAGTGAGCTAAGCAAGGGACTAAAAAAACTAGGAAGTAGAAATTGCACCAATGACACGAGCAGTTATGCTACAAAATAGTTTTACTAAAGACAAGACAGTCAAGCTAAGCTGTGAAACTAAAAGGTGAAGTTACACCAGAGACTTAGTACGAGGCAGTTCTACTTGAGACAGTGAGCTAAGCAGTGAAATTCAAGTAAAAATCAGTAAAAATCAGAAACTGAAAATCGCACCAGAGACATAAGCAGTAATGCAGGCTTAGCTGTGAAACGGAAAAAGTAAAGTTGCACCAGAGACACAGGCAGCAAGCAGTGATGCTACGAGGTAGCAGAAAAGACAAGGTAGGGAAGGTAAACACGCGAGCCGCAGAGAGACAGACAGTAAGCGCTAAGATGAAGTTTCACCACAGACGCAGAAGCAGCTGGTTAAAAGTTTCACCGAGGACACACAAGCGAAAAGGCCACTCACGCTCCGAGGCCATGGTGATGACCGACTCGGTGGTGGCGTGGTACTCGTCCGCCTCCACGAACTCGTCGTGCGGGGACGCGTCCCCCTGGAAGTCGTGCTGGTCCAGGAGCTGCTGCAGAGGGGGCGCTTTGGGCAGCAGCTGGTTGACCACCTCTCGGCTGATGTTGGGCGCCTGCTTGAGCCGCAGCTTGCTGAGGATCTGCGACTTGATGGTCTCCAGGCGCAGCACTTTGCTCTGCTCGCGCCATACGCACGCGGAGCACTCGCGGGCGCCGGAGTCCTCCACCTCGATGAGGGAGACCCGGGCGTCCGGGTCGGGGTGAAGGTCCGGCTCCGCGTCCCGGGAGGGCGGCGGGAGCGAGAGGTCGGGCTCGTCGCTGCCGGAGAGCTCCAAACCCACCAGCACCGTGAGACACAGCAGAAAGTTGTACCTCGCCATCTTCCTCCAGCGGAGGGCTTCCAAAACGAGAGCGAAGCGGAGCAGCAGCAGGAGAAGGATGACGACCCTCGGAGAGAAACCCACTCAGACGCTCGTGCTTTCGCTTCAAGTGTGAGTTTCCATAACAGAGGAGGATGGAGGACAACAAAGCGGCGAGTCCGGCTGAGTTTGGAGCGGCACTGAGGCGCCTTAACGCATCCCGGCGGAGGAGCCGGCCGTCGTTCCTCGTCGTTTCTGACACTTGGACGGACAGCTGCACGGACCTCGGTCACGTTTTTTGGAGGGGGGTGAAAGATGTTTCTTTTCTTTGCTTTGCTTTTTTTAGTGTTGTCACTGACAAGTGTACAAGCGCGCTCGGAGAGCCCCCCTTTATATAAGCCCACTGGCCGCTGTCGTAATCCGCCTCTATTGGCTAAGATCGCAACAAAAGGCTTTCAGGTTTGTCACTAAGTCAGGAGAGAGAGAGAGAGAGCGAGAGAGAGAGAGAGAGAGAGAGAGGGTGGGAGAGTGAGAGAGGGAGAGATAGTAAGAGAGAGAGATAGTGAGGGAGAGAGAGAGCGAATGAGGGAGAGAGAAGTGAGAAAATGAGAGAGAGCTAGAGAGAAAGAGTGAGTGGAAAGGTAAGGTAGTGTAAGGGAGAGAGATTATTAATATTAGCACTTTTAAAACTAAGCTTCTTTCATCACCTTGGCAACAGTTGTTAATTGCGATTCATGCCAATAAAGCCATTTAAATCGAAATTTGAGTGAGAAAGAGAAAGTGAGAAAGAGAAAGAGTGTGAGAAAGAGAAAGAGTGTGAGAGAGAAAGAGAGGGAGAGAGTGTATGAGAGAGAAAGAGAGAGGGAGAGTGTGTGTGAGAGAGGGAGAGAGAGGGAGAGTGTGTGTGAGAGAGGGAGAGAGAGGGAGAGTGTGTGTGAGAGAGGGAGAGTGTGTGAGAGAGAGAAAGAGAGACCAAGTACCTGCTCAGTGACCACAGTTTGGCCGTACATATAATGGGCAATGGGCAGATATAAGAAATCCTGGATGCCCAGAGAGAGAAAATTCGAGAAAATTTCACAACAAAACTGAAAAACATTCTCCCAAATTTTGAAATTCTAACACAATCTGAAAATGACCAGTTTTCCTTGGAGAAGGACAAACAGCATCTCTCGCTGCAAAATATGTGGTTACTTACTGTCCTGCCTGAGGGACAGTAACACACTCCACCCCCTGACCTCACTGACCCCCCACCAAACCCTCACAGTATAATAGTTACACTGTCTGTTATCATTTTTTATTATTAAATATTGTCTCATTTTATTCATTTACTTTAGTTACTTCAATATTATAACTGTTATCATTTCACTATGACTGTTATCATTATTACTGTTATTATTATTATTATTATTATTATTTTTAACTATATTTGTTTTTAGTTCTATGTTCCACTTAGAACTGAATTTTATATGATTTGTCAAGATTGTGCTAAAACAGTCATACCAATAAAACTACTCAGAATTTGGATAATTTGAGAAAGAGAGAGGGAGGGAGAGAGAGAGAGAGAGTGTGTCTGTGTGAGTGTGTGTGTGTAAGAGAAAGAGAGAAAGGAAGAGAGAGCGAGAGAGATAGAGACAGAGTGTGAGAGATTGTATGTAGTCCTGTTGGCCCGTTTTGGTAACTGGATGCTTTAGCAATTTTACCAGCTTAAAGGAGATCTTTTTCAGCGAAAAACAATTTTAGTACAACGTCAAACTGACAGAGACTCTCTGAGTGAAGTTTTCCTATTAAATATCATAAACGGTGGCCTCCAAAAAGTATTCAGACACTTTGTGTTTATAAACTTTTAACACTGTTTTGGTTTCTTCAAAAAGCCCTTTAGAAATGTTATGGGCAAAAAACACTTTTACCAAAACATTAAACGCATGATAGACTGTGGAGTTTTCATACTGAGGACCATTTACAGTGGTCCCAAAAAGTATCTGGACACTAACCATCGGTAAACTCCATTGTCCTTTAGTTTACTTAATGAAACGTGTAACTAAATGAGATCTGTGTAAGAGACACTGATGGTAGACGGTGTGTGTGGAGTTTTCATATTGAGTATCTTATACACTGGCCATAAAAGTGATGCGAAAATGCTGCAGCATAGAATTGATATTTATAGATTTTAGGGCAAATACAGAAATGTGGCTCCTCAAACTCACTGCTTTGACAGCACTGAAGAAATAGCAATAGTAGCAAATATCAGTTATTTTGTCATGTTTAGGTTAGATTTAACGTTCAGGCCTACATCCTATGACCTGTAACACCTGAAGTTAAAGTAATTAAAATTCAAGTAGAGGTAAAAATACCTGATCAAAGAACAACTTTGGTAAAAAGTTAGAGGTCCAAAAATGACACAACTAAGTACATCCAGCATCTGTCAGCATAGTAAGTGAAGTTTGTATGACTCTGTTCTTATGTTTTTGGTCTACAATAGCACGTTAAACCTCACTGAAATACAATTGTAAAAAAATTAAACGTAATGCACACATGAGGTTGTGTTTATACACTGACAGGCAGAAAATGTGCTGAAATTAATAGTAAAAGATCCATTACATTGATTTAACATTGATTGAAGTAGCTGTGTGTAGCTTACATTTTAAGGCGGATAACACTATTGAAAAGTAGCGTCATGTGTGCGTTCTTTTTTACGTTTTTCCGCTGTAATGAGTGCATTTCAATTTGGCACGAATTCCTCTCCATACCAAATATGTATAAAAGGGAATTCCACCAATTTTTCGTAATTAAATGGTTTAGATGTAAACAGTCGTTAAAAGTGATTTGCTGTGAACCAGACGTCCACCTCCCTTACAGAAAATTATTACATTAAATGGTTATGAATACACTGCCTGATGTCTGAGACACTGTTTTATGACCAGATTACAGACTAAAGCATATTTTAAAAAAGTATTCTTGGGAGAGGGGTACATGCAGGGTGTTGTGACCCAGAATAGCCCCAATGAATTTAGATTTTCCACTAGTTTACAATCATGGACGTTACATATAAATGCTTAGAAGATACGTGTAGGTTCACTGGTGGTTTTGGATAGTAAATAAAATGTCCATATTTCTGTTGTAGTCATGGTGACCCCTGGTTCCTATCACCACCACTGTAAGGAAATCTGAACCATTTCACACCAAACCACTCTGAATGACTCTGTTTATATTCAAGTGATTTAATTATTTTAAAAGAAATTTTTAAAATTTGGTGGAATTGTTTTGCCTGCTGATTATCCACCCAGGTGTGCTGTCTTCCTCAAATAGCAGTACTCTTACACTGTTGCAGAAGAAGTGTGTAGAGCTTTCATAGAAGTGAGCAAATGTCTTTGAAGTTAAGATTAATAGTGAGTTTGTCTCCTTTACTGCTGTAACAGCCTCTACTCTTCTGGGAAGGCTTTACACTAGATGCTGGAACATTGCTGTGAGGATCTGATTGAGCATTAGTGAGGTAAGGAATGATGTTGGCTGGTCAGTTCTGGATCACTCCAGCTCATCCCAAAGGTATTGGAAGGAGCTCCATCACTCCATAGAACACAGTTCCACTGCTCCACAATCCAATGCTAGGGGCTTTATAACCCTCTAGCCCACGCTTGGCATTAAGCATTGTGACCTTAAGCTCATGTTCTGCTGCTCTCATTCTATTGGTTAATGCTTCTCTATGGAGATTACACAGGCTGCATCAAAAATGGGGGCAGCTCAAAGTAGAGTTGCCTCATTAAAAGGGCTGTCTGGATACTTTTGGTATAGTGGTAGATAGTGTGTATTGTATTATTAAGTCTAATGTTCAGTAAAATTATACATTGATGATGGTAAAATAGTGATAAATCTGAACTAATCTGAAAAAAATAAGTATTTTGCTTTACAGAGCATTTCACATCAAACCAAGTGATTTTGTGGCCTTTTTGGCGAACACTTCAACAATTATTTGTGCGCATAACATAAAGACAGATTTCTCTGTCCATGAAGATCCAACCATGACCCAGTCTTAGAGCCCTGACTGAGGCAGCCAGCTTTTGGAGCCCATAATGCCATATATCCTTTTAAGATACTCACAACATCCCACATCCACCACCATGCTTCACAGTGAGAAGGAGGTTCTGTTTTGCTTGACCTTGACTCTTTTTGGGTCAGAGGCACATGGTGTCCCACAACTCTGAAACCATGAAAATGAGCTCAAAATAATAATAAACCCCAGAAAGGTTGATGTATATGCAGCCTGTTATTTTAATTTATAAACATTGTTGCAGGATTTTTGTCAGTGGTGTCTTGTATGGAGGTCTCAAAGGAACAAAGGTGAACTCTGAGAAGTCCATGGTTACTGAAATCTCTTTTATTTCTGACACATAGCTTCATGATTCGCAAAAGGATTGTGTCAGTGGTGTCACCTATGAAATATAATTTTTTAAATTTTAAATCTAAGTAATTTTTTAAAATCTAAATAAAATAATGTATGCAATAGCTGTCATTTTCAACATAAAACATACAATGTGGCTGTGAAACTAGTGAGAGTGGACTATATTTTAGAAAAGTGCAGATTTTGATCGTGTCAGTGGTGTGACTGTCAGTGGTGCAACTTTACCGTTCAGTGTAACTGACTTCGTTTTACACTTGAATTACATACTAACATTCACACCTGGTTTACCACCAAAATGGTAGAATGACCATTTGACTGTCAACCCACTTTGCTTGCTGGTGTCACATAAACATAAACTCTAACCACCTTCACTGACCCTCCAACTGTTTATTTGATTTTCTTTTTTTTTTAATATTATTTTCATATGGTTTAGCTGTTGTTTCACTTATTATTCTTTTTTCATTTTATTTATTTTGTTATTTTTTATTTTTTTACTGACAATTTGTCTTACATCTTCTATTTATTATTTATTTCATTAATTGTGTTTTTTATTTATTTTATCCTTATCTGATCTGTTATTAATCTATTATACTATTGTAATTTAATAGTTTATTGATTACTTTTTTCTCTGAAATTTTTGAGTTATAATGTATTTTTACTATCCAACTTCTCGATCCTTGATTTCTGGCTCAGCTACACTGAAAATGAGGGTCTCTCTCAATGTACTCTTGATTGATTGTTTTGGTCCCATCTGACAATAGAACCTGGTTCCACTGACGTTTAGCAAACACTGTTCTGAGAAACAGCAGAGGCTTTGTCCTGGCATGCTTTCCATATTGTTTTTTGGCACAGAGTTGGCATCTAATTATAGTTTTGGAGGCTCAGTGATCCCAGAATGCAACCAACTCCTGCAGCTGTCCAACTGTGGAGAAGATTTTCCCTCTCAAAC